TTGGAAGGAGGGGAAACCATTGACATACAAACATTTTCCATATTAGAAATTACAAATCCTAATTGAAATACAGATTGCCCTGACAATGTGCTTCGAGGTAGTAATTTGCAAAAGACAACACAGCAAAGCTGTTGCAAAGTCTGGACTAGAATCCAGGCAGTGCTGAAATCTAGCTTTGTTTTGAATAAGTAAATCACCATAAAGATATTGTTTGGTCTTTTCTTAAACTGCTTTGTGTTACATAAAATGTGATGTGTTTGGATTATTTTAGAGCTTTGGGGTATGAAACGTGCTCTCCTTAACCCGTACTTAATGTAGAAGAAATCCACTAAATAGAAACTAGTGAATTAAGTGTTTGTGAATAGCTGGACTGAAATCCCTGGAGGCAGAGGTTCTCCAGTTATTTCACAGAGCAAGTCTAGCTCAGGCAATAGCTGTGCAAGTTTCCCGGTGTCACCCTGCCAGCATGCTTTGAGCCTGATCTGGAGGGGCTACCTAGGAGGGAGTTCTCATTCATTCCGACCCTTGGCAGCTTTGCAGAGACTGCCAGATATGGTGCCAATTGTGGCTGTGGTTTCTGTGATGTGAATTGTACAACTGATGTAGCTTGTGATGGATGTCGTTAAATAGCATATGACTTTAGGTGAGCTAGGTGAGACGGACACAAATCATGATCTGAAAACATTTCCAGGACTTTGCTACAAGCAGTTCTGTGTACACGGGCAAGGGTTTGAGCTTTTCGTTACTGAAACCTAAGGTTCCTGTTTACCAAACATTTGTTCACTCTTTATACATAGGGGAGAATGAGGAAATAAACCACAAAGCTTAGAGCCAAAAACTCTGCTTTACGTATGTAAATCATGCTCATGCAACTTTCTCTGCCAACTTCAAAGTTCAAGAACCAATCTGTCTACCACAAGTTCATTGTTTCTCCTGAGATTTCCGCCACATCTTGGTTCAAGACAGAAACAGCATGACAGCAACCATTTATTCCGGGGAGGGGAAGGATATGAGGCGGGTACAGGGGGTTCTCATGAAAGTCTTTACAAATGCCAAGACAAGTGGTTAAGCACATTGTTTTTTCCTCGTTATTTCAGTGTTTCCATTGCCAATCACATACTATATGTAACACACACACACACACACACACACACACACACACACACACACTTTCCTACCAGAAAAAAGATAGAAAAGACCTATTAAATCACTCTGTTTCTCTGGCAGTGCTGGAATTTTCTCATTTTCTAACTTTTGACCACTGTAGTGTTAAGTATCCCAGCAATTGGATTTCACAGAATCATAGAAGATTAGGGTTGGAAGAGATCTCAGGAGGCCAACTAGTCCAACCTCCTGCTCAAAGCAGGACCAACCCCAACTAAATCATTTCAATCAGGGCTTTGCCAAGCCAAGCCCTAGAACACCACTAAGGATGGATACGCTACCACTTTCCTATGTAGTCCATGGCTTCACATTAAATAGTTCTCCCTAATATTCAGCTTGAGACCAATTGCTCCTTATTCTGTCATCTCTGAGAACAGCTTCTCTCCATCCTCTTTGGAACCCCCCTTCAGGTAGTTGAAGGCTGCTATCAAATCCCCCCTTATTTTTCTCTTCTACAGACTAAATAAGCCCAGTTCCCTCAGCCTCTCCTTATAAGTCATGTGTCTCAGCTCCCTAATCATTTTCATTGTCCTCCACTCGACTCTGATTTGTCTATATCCTTTCTGTAGTGGAAGGGCCAAAACTAGACACAATACTCCAGATGTAGCCTCACCAGTTTCAAATAGAGGGGAATAATCACTTCCCTAGATCTGTTGGCCGTGGTTCTGCTCATCAACCCAATATGTCATTAGAGTTTCTGGCAACAAGGACACACTGTTGACTCAGATCCAGCTCCTCATCTACTGTAATCCCCAAGTCCTTTTCTGAAGAGCTGCTGTTTAGCCAGTCGGTCCCCAGCCTCTGTCAGTGCATAGGATTTTTCCATCTTAAGTTCAGGACTTTGCATTTGTCCCTGTTTAACCTAATCCGATTTTTTTTGGCCAAAATCTTCAATTTATCCAGGTCACTTTGGATCTTATCCCTATCCTCCAATGTGTCTAACTCTCCCCCAACTTAATGTAATCCTGAACTTACTGAGGGTGCAATCCATCCCTTCATCCTGATCATTAAGGAAGATGTTGAACAAAACCAGCCACAAAACCAATCTCTGGATATTCCACTTGATACCAGCTGCCAGCGAGACATCAAGTCATTGATCACTACTCCTCAAGCCTGATGATCTATCCACCATTATCTGTGGAGAGACCTTCCTACAGCCTTTGTAATTATTTTAAAATCCCACTCTACCCTCGAGCTTTCCTTTTGCACCCAGTCCCTCCCCTCTCATATTTGAGCAACCTCTAATCAGACAATATTTTTTCTGGTAATGAAGTGTCCGGAAACGAGCACAACCATATAACTGCAACTTCACCAAAGACAAGCAGAGAGGGACAGGTACCATCCGGACTAAGCAAGAGATGAGATTTTATATTTCTGATGTGAAAGAGAACAAGTGAGGTATCACTTGAGAGCTGTGAATATTTTGTCACTGCTTATGTGTGAAAGTAGTACCGGGTGTACTGCATTTTGTGGCAAATTTTACCATTATCTTGTGAAATGTTTGTTCACCTTTCTAACAGTGCATAAAAACCCACTTTTCCCTGCTCCATTTTTAAATAGTTCCTTTTTAGACACTTAGGGTACGTCTAGACTACAGGCTTTTGTTGACAGAGGCTTTGTCGACAGATACTGTCGACAAAACTTCTGTCGACAAAGAGTGTCTAGACTACATCCAGTTCTGTAGACGCAAAAGACAGTGTAGATGCAATAATGCCTTCTGTCAACAGAGCTCTGTCGACAAAAGGCATTATTCCTCGTAGAATGAGGTTTACCGCCATCGACAAAACTGCTGAGTTCTGTTGACGTTATATTGACAGAACTCGGCGGTAGTGTAGACGCAGGTATAGTTTTGTCAACAAAAGTCCACTTTTATGGACAAAACCCTGTCGTCTAGACACACCCTTAGAAGAGGAGGAGGAGGGAATACAGCCATTTTGTCTCTTGTGGTTCCCATCTCTAACAGGCCATAATTTCCCTTTTAAAAAACTGGGCTTGTCTTATGCACTCAAGAGTGTTTCAGGTCTCTCTGCCCACCATTTCCCCCACTCCTCCTTCTGGGAAAGCCTCTCTCTTTCTAGAGTTCTGCTACTCCTGCATGGGAGCTCAGACACTTGGGAAACAAAGCCAAGGCAAAGAGAGAGGAGGAAAGGCAGTGGGGAAAGGACTAACCTATCACCAAGGGGAGAAGCCATCAAGAAAGAAACTGAGCAGCAGCAGCTCACGCTGTAAAAATCATCATATTTAAAAATATATACAGAAGATTCAATATTTAGAGAGGCTCTAGCCCAGAAGTGGCAGTTGCCGGGTACACTTCCAGCTGGCCAGCAATCTGAAAAGAGGTCTGAAAGGACATGGTGTGGGAATTGTCTGTTTGGCCAAAAGGTTTTGCGAAGATACTTTCTAGTAATTTTGTTTTGTAAAGGAGCCCTTGGGACTACTACACTTGTGGCCTGTTGCATGTCTCTAAATTGCTTCTCCTGTTTGATTAGGCCTCCACAATTTCTCTCTTCACCTCCTTTATTTCACACTGTATCTGCAAACTTAAAGGCTCATCTAGCTGAGAACCAGTTTAACTCAAGGTGTGATTTCAGCGGTGACCGGACACAAGGGAGCACCATCACATGACCACCCCATGTGACTCCTCCCCA